TAAGAGCAACAATTAAAAAACTGCTGTTGACAAAAATATCAAAAAACCGGCAAAATTTCTTTGTTTAACAGAGGTATTGCGATGTTTGCATTAATTCTAGATACTTTGTATAAGTTCTTCAACACTGTCCAACAGGAAATTGGAAATAAAAAGTAGGCTCTAATATGCAAACACTACTTGTGAATGTAGTGATGAATGCAGAAGACCTACTTGCATGTAAATAAATCTGTTGATAAGAAAAAACTAGTTTATACAAAGCGAATCGACCAAAACATCTATTAAACGCGTTTCTGTTTGTCATCTGAAGCGTGTAATTATTGATGGCGCTACGTGCCAATTTAGATACACTTAACAAAGAACGATTCGAAATCAGTGTAGCATATTCTAATACTGCTAATATGCTTCCATAGCATATATGGGAAATTATTGTCGTTTGCAACCATGGAGGCACAGAGACAACATGCATATGACCAGAAAATAGTACTAAACGGGAGTGCAGATTTAACATTTAACAAAAGCAAGTGACATGGTTTTCTGTGCCCGAGACGTTATACTATTTTATAGTTATTATAAGTGAGAGAAATGCAATTTTATAAGCGAGTGATACTAATCCTAGGAGCTTATAATGGCATTTCACTCACGTATGACGTTTTATCTTATAGTAGTAGCTACGAATAAAATAAAGCAACTAAGAATAAAATGAATCCAGGGTGAAAGTTCATTAAACTAAAAAATCGTGTTGTCAATAAATATATTTTTCTACTTTGCGTCAATAATACAGGGTTTCTATAACTGATTATATGGTCGAAGTAGGTCATGAATACGTGCCGCGTCTCAGATTTGAACTTTACTAAATGCCCAAGGATCCATGATAAAAACCGCACGCATCTGTATAACTGGTTGCCTAAATGTTTCATATCTTGTTAAAAAATTAAACTAATTCATTACAATAAAAAGAAACAAATTTTTGCGTTTAAACATCACAGTAAATGTTGAAAATGTTCATCATTTTGTTCAAGCATTCTCTTTTTCATTCCAAAAATGTTCTGTAATCTGTTCGGCAATACCCATTGTTCAATTTTGTGTTTTACATGTCCTGAAAATATTTTGGTAATAATAGTAATAGTAACTTTTTCCTTGATTATGTTGGCAATGTTATTATGCGGGCAGTTGAAAAGTGGTCGAAAGTTGAAGCCAAATGTCAATGTACATTGTTAATAATAACTAGCCCAATTGAATATTTCCATCTATTTGCTCCCTTTTATGGCAAATGATCACGAAAATGTTGATTTTGTTACCAACCGACTGTTCAAAATCCATAATCGAAAATATTTTTTTAGAATATATTTTTAAAATTTATGTAGAATGCAAAGTAGAAAAAATAATACATTCTTTTCATAAGACGACTTGTGGTACTCATTCTATTTGGTCACTCCTCACTGCGCTCGTCGTGGTCAAAATTCATTCGTGCCATAATAAGTTCCTTATGATTATGAAATACGTGTAATAATGTACTATAGTAGTATCAATAATTTCATTGCATCACTTGTGAGCATGTTACTTTACTTATTAATAATATTGAATTTTTGTCTCTTGAAATAGTTGCATAAACTACTCCAAAACCTACTACAGTAAGATAAAAAAAATATGTATCACTCATATTTCATTTTAAGATTAAAAAAATTTGTCACTCGAAGCTTTTGTTTTCCCTCAGTCCGAACAACAAAGTTAATGCAATAGGCAACAAAGCTATTCAGAACACCAACAAAAAAATAAATAACAGCAATATATCCATATTATTTTATAGGGTGGTTCCTTTTCATAAATATATATTACATACATATATCAGTAAAAAAAATCCAAAATTTCTCTCAGTGGATAAGGTCTTCACTATCGCTATGCGTGTGGTATTATAGCAAAAGGTTTTTTAACTCAAATTAAACAAAGAAACAAACAATTGACGGAACTGTTTAATTAAATTTGCCAGTGTTTGCATTCACCAACTTGTTTATTATTCCTTCACTGATGTTACAAATTTTAAATAAAATTATTTTAAAAACAATTACACGTATTTCTCGTTTACGAGTTTTTTATAAGCTTAACACGTACGTTTGAAAATCTTATTTTATATACATATAATATAATGCAATGTTTAAAACTGATGAAACAAAACTGTGTTATTTTATTACGAAGTACTAAATTAGTTATGGCAACTAAACAATTTTAATGGCATTAACTGGTAAGCTATCATCAGAAGTTTTCTCCATAGGCTATCCATAAGTTTTCCTGAATTTTTAAATAAATTTAATTACATTTTTTACTGAATTTTTTCTTCTTGTGCTCTTTACTGCACAGGGTTCAAAACCACCCAGTTTTAGGTACTTGGAAACATTTGAAACTTCCATCTTTTGGAGAAACTTAACGAAGGTCATTTTTGTAGATTTTTCGTCACATTGATTTTGCATGTTCTTTTTGTTTTTTTATGCACTTTGGAATCTTATGCGTACTTTGATTTCTGATATTCCTAACAGTTCACTTTGATTCAGTCGTCGAACTGCCAGACATATTGACAATCTGGTTGTTTTCAATCATTTCGGAACTGGTTCTTAATAACGTTTTCCGATTAGAGTCTTTGCACACTCGTCTAATATATTGTTTTTCTTTCTTTATGACGTGGTACACAGGAAGAGTTTTCTTTCTATTTGCGCGATTTAAATAAAAGCGCCCAGCTCTTTTTGAGAATCGTAATTATTTTTGCCTTTTCATTCTAAGTAGTTTTAATTGAGGACCCGGGTGGGTTAGGTAGCTTCGTGTTTGCCTGCTACACCTTGGGTCGTGGGTTCGATTCCCGCCTGGCTCTGGGTGTTGTGTATGTCTCCCGTTCCCCTGTAATTGGGCCACCGGCCTGTAGGGTAACGTAATCAAATAAAAAAAATAAAAAATAAAAATAAAATAAATAATTAGTCACAAATCTATTGCCACAGTTAAAAGCATATTAATTTTCTCTTAAATCTGCACCATTCCTCATTCGCACTTATTTAGGCAGAGCCTACAGGAGGTTTTCTTATTTTTGTGCTGCTAGTAACAAAACAACCCTTATTTAAGCATTACAAGTGCTTAATAATACGATAATTGCAAATGAGGATGAACGTTCAAGTAAATAATCTCAGATATAATTTTGTAAGAAATATCTTGTCGACTTTTACAGTGCTTTAGTCGAATTCCTTGCAAAAATTATTAGCCCTTTTGGGACATTTTATTATTATTTGTTTAATAAAAATAGATAAACATGACAGCTATTTGAATATAACTGTAAACTATAATAAAAAAAGTAAAATCGGGGTTCGTCAGTAAAGACAACCTGACGGTATTCTTCCTTCTAGACTAATTTTTCTCGGCATGAGTGTAACACAAACTGTGGGCAGTAGGACATGAGTCCGAAGGCTTCGATGGTCCTAGTTGTTCCTACCGTTTGTCCTTCTGTAATATAGTCGGAAACGACCCCTAAAACCGAACAATCTTAGCCGGCGCTCCTAATGTGCTGTTGACTGTTGGAGACACACTAAATGTCTAGTTCGTTTTGTTGTTCTTTCTTCGGACCAAACCTGATACTAGTTTGCCACAGATGATATGGTTCTGTTTAACTGGGCTACAATTTAGCGAAACGAAAATTCCTCTTCCCGAAGATCCACTACTCACCTTTAAAGTGGCAGTTGTCTAAAATTTGGACGCTGACGCACTCTAGACTTTGTGACAAACATGTCAAACAGTATAATGTGACGGAAAAAGTTAAATGAGCTATTCATGCAATTAATACGTTCTTTAAACATAAAATTTCATTAAACAATCATCTTTTGTACTTGGTGGTCTTTTATTTTTGTCACTCAGAACATTGATTTATATTAAACAGGGCTTTCATAAATGATTCTAACATAAAATGGGTACTGATTTGTTCCACCTCTTTTGAAGTGTGTAACTATGATGACAACGTTTGACCATGTCCATGGCCATGAAAGTTCAAACGTTATAATTATCTCGACAGATAACATTAACCGTATTAACTGAGATTTTTAAAAAGTCTACCATTACTAAGAAGTGGCAACATTTTCAATTTTCACAGGTTACTGGATGTATGAAACATTTATGAAAGCCTTGAATAAGTCAGTAAAGTGCAAAGTGCTACGAGTTAAATTGCATTTATGATTTTTCTACTATGACAAATTTTAAAATGAAAAAGTATGATTTTATAGAGTTGAATTCCATCTCTATTCTATTATGTATTCATTCTACACATGATACCAAAGTTTGAGAAAGAAAACGTCAATTCGAGAAAAAAAAATACAAAACTATTTTTAGCTCTTGGCAACAATTATCAGGATCTTGTAGATTGTCAAAACTTGTTGCCCACAAGTTGACTTACCTATACATACTATGCATTATTATTGTTTGGAAAGACTTTAGTTACGATCTTTTAATATCATATACGCTTTAGCTACAAGCAAGTCAGAATTAAGATATTTGAAACATTAGTCAACTAAATAATACAATGGTTGATCTGTAGACTACAAATTTTTACACGCATGTCCATAGAAATTGTTACACTCCCAATTTTTTCCTATATATATCCTAAAAAATAAATGTTTCTTCCAGCTAGGTTAAAGATTTATATTTAATTCTGCAAATTTAGTTCTGTTGCACATTTTTTGTTCAAAATTCAGCAGCGCCATTTAAAATATATTTATTCCTAGTATTTTCAAATATATCTACATAATTTAGTAGTAAATTCAACTGCATTCTGTATGATAAAACGGTTTTGATGTGCACCACTAGAAATTGAATTCTATTCTCCGTTATCTTTTATAAATCTTTTGTTCATCCTAAAACAAGCGTGGTATGCGGCACCTCGCTATTACATGAACAATGAAGTCTTTGTGTACGGAAAACACCTGAGGCGATAGCAGGCTTATATGTACTATCTCAACTCCTTTGCTACTTTTCAGGGAATGAAATACCTTCACTCCACACCAATCCGAGTCCACGGCTATTTGACATCTCGTAACTGCGTCATAGATGCCAGGTGGGTGTTAAAAGTCACAGACTACGGATTACCGGCGTTTTACGAAGCTCAAGGCTTACAACCCCCCGTCAAAACTGCCAGAGGTAAGCAACATCTTATCACAGCATTACATTCTAATACAATAATTATTTCTTTTATATTTGATGTAAACTTTTACGTTCAAAACAAGCATCTATTGTCCGGAGTAATAACATGAAATGATACTATGTAATACTTAGTGGCAGTGGCTATAAGTTGGAGCCCTAAAATTTGCATGACATTATTAATTTAACTAGTTCATTAATTTCTGGCTAAATACTATAGTCAAATCTCAGATGTCTTAATTGTTATTCACCTAATTAGTGCCTTATTAAGACATGAGTGTAAAGTTTGGAAAATATAAAATGTGTTTAGAGTTCCGTATTGATCATTATGCATAATACTAATGCAAAATCACTTGTTGCATATCTGTTTTCATATTCTATCAACAGTTAAATGATTAAAATATTTAACTTAACTTTAACACAGTCTTGAGATAAAAGTGAAATAACCAGTAGTTCATTTCCCATTTTTCGTTAAAAAAACCCTCAGATGTAATATAAAAAGTTCCCTACAACCTTTATGTTGGCTGCCGGCGAATAATTTATTTAAAACCATTTAACCTTTTTGTTCCTGAATTGATTAAGTGAATTGACATCATTTTCTGAACAAAAAACTGATTGGATGAAATATAAATGTTCCGTCGGACACGGATAAATGTATAACAGAAATAGGGAGAATATCTGTGGTATAATGTATTATTTTATGACCCTAATGAGATAATAAGGGTTGCAACTGTAATTACCGTCTAATAATTCTACTTCACGCAGTACTAATGGATAAAACAGTTGAGGTAGAGAGGGTGTACACCCTAACGTTTCGCAGTTAATACAAACCCCGAATAGTGCAATAGCGCATTAGATTTGTCACTTACTTCTTGAAACCCAGATGCAGCACTTATTATTATTATTATTAACATTAATAATATTAATAAACTAACGGCTCAGTAACCTAGTCAAAGACAAAGATAAAGAGAAACTAAACAAGAAAGGAACATAAGTATAATGTTAATTTAATTAATAAAATAAAATAATGTTAATAATGTATTAACAACGAGATGCTAGTATCCATAACACTTTTTAATAGTTTGATTTGTACAGTTAAATACGAATACAGGGTGACGCATCCAGCAAAAATGTACATAGCATCAACTCGTTGAATCTGGTCGTGTTTATTTTCTCGCTCATAAAAACATTAATTCTCTCAAAATTTATCCGAACCCTGTTAAAATAAAAAAAAAATAGACTCACAAATTATTCTGTTTATTTTAAAAGCTACTTCACTATATGAATGATAGGTCTAAAATACGTAAAAAAATATATATAAAAGCGACACGTATGTATTTTTTTCCCTTAATAACAACTTGTCAGTTATGCCTCATAAAATGAGAGAGAAATCTTGGTTGTCGCCGTTCGAGTTTATGCAAAGCGACGTTTAACATTTACAGAAAACTCGTCTTAGATATGTTCATTTAAGTGTGATACATGACGTACACACAAATTAGTGATTCTGGGAAAATTTCCGTAAAGATAGACTTAAAAATTAGGTAAAGGATAAAAATTACATTTTTCCCCTATTTGAGGGGATATTGAAGAAAGAAGCACAGATTCGTGATCCTGTAGACCAGACTTTAGACCGCACTGAATTCTGTTACTGCCAACTTGAACAAATATAATAATTTGATAAAAATGGTGGAGGCGCCAGGCTAAAAGAAAAATGCTATTTTCTTCGTTATTTGAGAAAATTTTGTAAAAATAAGCACATATTGATGAAATACCCTTTAGGATAGACCACACATTCAGACCAGAGGATATCCTGTTACGACCTGTTTGAACAAGTAAAAGGTTTGCAAAAATGGTGGAAGTGATGTACCGAGTTTTTTTATTTGTGATCTACTTACCCAAGAATTTGTTAACAGGGCGTAATTCACTTTGTTTTTAAAAATTTGCAATTTCACAACATAACCTGACCATGGGTCGTCTGTGGCCACGGTTGTGCCGATCCCTAAATCCATGGAAAATAATAACTACATCTGCTTGCCTTGGAGTCTCTCGTCAAAATTCAGAATGCTCATCTTCAAAACCCAACAGTTTATTAAAAAATATATATTTTTACTTCCCCAGCGTAAACGAAGGAAATATTGTAATCGAGTCCGTCGGCCGACCCTCTACTTTTACGTTTTCTCGAATGCTTTGAAATCCTGCAGATATTTTAAAGTTATTATAAGCATGACAAAAATTTAATCAAAATATATTTACTTATCCCCTCCAAAAAATTGATGACGTCAGCTCAAAATTTTGCCGAATAAATCCTACCTAAATTGTACAAAAAAATGATGATTTTGTCCTTGTAATTTATCATTCCTTTCACATTTTTGGATTTGCATGTACAGGGTGACTCAAAAATAATAATGAATGCGTGAATTTATTTTATTGATTTAATCAGAGACTACAAAACCGAATACTTCAAAATCTTGGAGATGTTATCATAAGCATGGTAATTTACATAACCGTCTTCCGGGTTGGAACCGTGTTAATTGAGTTTTTGGGCCCAAAAACTCAATTAACACGGTTCTAACCCGGAAATGATCATGTATTGATTCCGACCGTGGAAAACTCGGAAATTATTAGCATGGTAATTTTTTTAACAAAATGTATTTGTTTATCAAGCCCCAAAAGTTGATGACGTCGTCTCAAAATTTTGCCGAATATATCCTGTCTAAAATGTGCAAACTATGATCAGTCCATACTTGTAATTTATCACTGGATTGAGATTTTTTTGATTTGCTTATGCAGGGTGACTAAAAAAAATAATGCAGACGTTTTAAAGTTATTGTAAGTATGGTAAATTGTTAATCAAAATATATCTGTTTATTCTGCCCAACAAATTGATGACGTCATCTCAAAATTTTGCCAAATAAATTTTACCCAGAATGTGCAAAATATGATGAGTTTTTACTTGTGATTTATCACTGCATTGATATTTTTTATATTTGGTTATACAGGTGGCTCAGAAAAATTAATTAATGAGTCAATTTGTTAATTATTGATTAAATCAGGAACGGCTCACACCATTTTCCCAGAAAATTTTCGGAATACAATAGGTACTATTATTTTTAGTATTACACTGCATCAGTGTTGATATACATGTCCTTGCAAAAATGTTGATGACGTCATCGCAAAATTGTGTAAAGGAAAAACTCAAACTCAGCTCGAAAATGCTGATTAATATTATTATTATTATCAATCTTTCCCAACAGTGAAAAAAAAATTAACAGGGAAAGATAGAGTTAAATCAGATATAAAGAAAATGTATTGAATATGTTTCATTGTACTTCAGGAGCGAGGGAAGTTCGGTGGAAACAACTGTCGACCAATTTTTTGTATTTTCTATTTAAAAACATATGATTCAGAATTTAAGATTTTTGTCATACTATAAATATTACTGTACCATCTAATTCTAATGCTCACGTTGAAGCCACTAACTGACAGTAATTAGAAACATCTCTAAAAAAAGTGTTCTTAATTTTATGATAAAAAACACAAAAACAATTGACGCCCATTTAGAATGTTAGCTACTTTTTGCCCTAACTGAAATTCTTTAGAGAAATATTGATGTTTTATATTCGAAAATTGTACGAATTAGTTCAATTTCGTTCCCTTGGTTGATTCTACGTTAATTCAAAAACGACAAAAAATTCCGGTCTTCATTATGATTTTCGGTGATTAATCAAGAGTGTTGTATTTTAATCTTCTTATTTCAACTTCTGTTAAAGGAAGCAACCAATTTCATGTGAAAGGTACCTAGTTATAAAGTGATAAATTTCTATGGAAACGTTGAAATGGTTAGACATTAATCCTTTCTGTTAAATAGGTTTTGCTAAAGTTTCGCCGATGTATTACAAACAGCATTTGTTTAACTCGGCATACTGTACGCATAGTAAAGCAAGCAAAGACAGGTTTCATGGAAGAAGACGAGGAGTACTAAAACGGAAACAACTTTTATACAGCTGAAATACTTTACGGCCGTTTGTACCTACCAATGTTGATTAACGTTTCAGTATTACCTGAAAACTAAAATATGCTATTAAATCGATGTGTATTTTTTTTGTTTACGTAAAAACAAAACTTTCACAGTTTATTTATTAACGAATTTTAGTTTTGAGCAGCGCTTAAATTTGCTTAAATTTCAGATAAATTTAGCGAAAACGAACGTTAGTGCTATAAACCGCATTCGTTAAAAGTGACACAGAAACAGGATTATCCGGGTAGGTATCCGTTTGCCTTACTCTGGTGAATGTATAAACTGGTTTAAGCTTTAAAATTTACGGATTGTATCTAGAGTATTTAACCACGCCTGGTTAATATATTGCCGCAATATCACAGTGGAAGTACAGCACATACTTTTTTCGAATGAGGAATTTCAGAAATTCAGTGTCGTAAAAAGGATGTTTTATTGGTTAGATTACATTATTTGGTTGCTATGAATTTAATCCATAAATATGCAGAAACATTGCTGACGCATTATTCGAACAAAGATGCATTATTAAATTATCCATTACGCAAGGAAGTTGTCCGATGCAGTTATCGTTACGTGGAATATCTGCTTTAACAAATTTTGTAATTCTAACAGAATATGTCAGTACATTTGTACATCATGAAATGTTTTCACTGAATATGAATGCTGTCACTAGCATGTGCTAGACATTTCGAGGAAGTTTGTTTATCGCCCGAGCGCTAACTAAGGATGCATCATAAAAAAGATGTAATTCAACAAATGTTTAATTTCATGTTCTCTCCACACTTCACAACTCTTAGAATATGAAAATGCAGATTAATCGTTTTCGTCTAACCATCAGAGCAGAATTTACAGTTTCAGTTTAAAAATGGTTGGATAATATAAAGCTTCATTTCTGAACAGGTGGGAAACATACGTAGGTATATTGAAAAAATTGCATCGAACAAATTAATTTTTTGAAGATACATAATAAAATTTGATTTTGTCA